TGACCATTAAAGAACTCGATGTCTTTGGTCCACTAAATAAGCTTGACATAGGTAAACTCACGGGGACCGATGAATTACATCCTAGGCTACTGAAAGAATTATCTAACTTCGTTGCGAAACCTTTAAGTATATGCTTTAGCCTATCCGTAACGCAGGGTCGTTTACCCAAAGACTGGAAAAACGTCATTATTATTATTATTTTATTTGGACACATGAATATTGGTACAAGAGAGCGCCAATATATATGCGCCACACAGAACAATGAATATTCGAAGAGGAATACAAAGAAAAAAAAGAAGCCAAGGAGCACAAAAAAAAGAGAGAACAATAACGAAGAGATTGGTGTAAGGTAATGTGCTAGTAATCAGGGAACGCAAAGGTACAATCGGAGGAAATCTTTCAGGTAAGGGAGACACAACCACTTTTTATGAAGAAAGTAAAAGAAGGTTACAGCAGGATCGCCACTGGCTTCTATTCTGAGCCATATCTGATAACGTCTCTAGCCACTGTGTAGCACCATCTCTCAGACCCCAACCAGGGAGTCGTGAAGGACCGACACAAGCCAGTCCTTTGCAGCTTTCTTTCATACCACGACACCATGTCATGCACTGACCACCTCTCCGCTTCTTCCAACCAGTCCCAGAGTCGGCAAATAATGCACGACGTGGAATTCTCTGGGACGACATTCGTAGGACATGTCCAAGCCACCGAAGTCGGTGTTTCAAGATGGTGACACCAATTGAATTAACATCTCTGTGCCCGAACACACGATGCCGAACCTCTGCATTACTGACATGGTGTTGCCACTAAATGTCGGCAATCCTTCGGAGACAGCGATGATCGAACACAGAGAGTCGTCTAACGTCCTCAACTCGGAGAGGCCAGGTTTCACAAGCATAGAGCAAAACTGCTCTCACCGACGCGTTGTAGATCCGACCTTTTACGGCCAGACTAACATCACGATTGGCATAAGCCGCTCTGGCTTTCACTATACGTGCATTGATCTCATCACTCACACCCCCACCAGCACTTATGCAGCTACCCAGATACACGAACTTCTCGACCACTTATGTCTGCTCACCATCCAGGGTGAGTACAGGATTAGAATCCTGCCAGTCTTGTAGAAGTACTTTGCACTTCGAAGGTGCAAAGCACATACCATACCTACGGACACTGATTGCCAACTGATTAAGTGCGAATATATATTGGCGCTCTCTTGTACCAATATTTGTGTTCAAATAAATAAATAAATAAAGTGCGGATTGCATGCCTTGGGCATTATCGCACAGTAAGGCAATATCGTCCGCATACTCAAGGTCGAGAAGTCTTTCTCCAGGCAACAGATCCACACCACCATTACTTACATTCATCAGAGCTGTTTCCAGAATGTCATCGATGGCAAAGTTGAAGAGGAATGGTGAGATTGGGCAACCCTGCCTAGCCCCACTACTCGAATGGAACAATGGAGAAAGGTGGTTGTATGCCCTCACTCTGCCTGAGGTGTTTGTGTATAGGGCTTTTAGGATGTTAATAAACTTCTCAGGCACACCCTTCTTCAATAGACAATACCAGAGAACAGTCCTATCCAACGAATCGAAGGCAGCTCTGATGTCAAGAAACACTACGATTGTTGGCCTTTGAAAAGTATGGCGGTGTTCTAACATTTGGCGGAGGGTGAAGATATGATCAATACATCCTCGACCAGAACAAAATCCAGCCTGCTCCTCGCGAGTCAATCTTTCTCGGGTTTTGAACAACCTACGAAGTATGACGGAAGCCAATAGCTTGGACGCAATCGGAAGTAGACTTATCCCCCGATAGTTGTTGCAGGAACGACGTGAACCCTTTTTAAAGATAGGGACAACTATCGACTCATTCCATGACGTTGGCACACTCTCTAGTTCCCAAACCTTTGTAAACAAGGTCGTCAATTCCTTAGTCAAAAAGTCACCATCATCTTTAAAAAGAGCCGGAGGTAAGTCATCTGGGCCAGGTGATTTGTAACGCTTCAAGAGTTGGAGTTCCTTGCGGACTTCCTCCTCGTTTGGTGGATCAGTCGTCACCGTCATAGTATGTCCTGTCTTCAAAACAGGTACGAAACACAAACGTGAGAATTACTGCATCGTTAGCCCAACTAGTGTGGTTGTTAAAATCTTAGAAAAGATTATTCGGAAGGAGCTGTTTAAGTATCTCGATAAAAACCGGATCCTTTCGGAGAAGCAGCACGGTTTCAGAATAGGTTACTCTTGTCTCACTAACTTATTAGTGGCTCGTGAAAGCTGGTACGCTATTAACGGCCAAAAGTTACTTGTTGACGTAGACTTCATTGATTTCAGTAAAGCTTTTGACAAGGTTCCACACAACCGGCTATTGTATAAGCTAAGAAATGTCGGGATTGGAGGCATTCTATTGATGTGGATAAAAGACTTCCTAGTTGGGCGCCAACAAAGAGTACGGGTGAACCCAAAGTTATCTAGCTGGGAAACTGTGCTTAGTGGAGCGCCCCAGGATACAGTTTTGGGGCCAGTGCTATTCCTCTTGTATGTAAATGATTCTCTTCGTCTCCTATCATCATCGGTCTTGCTATATGCTGACGATGTCAAGATATGGAGAACGATAAGATGTAACGGTGATTGCTTAGAACTCCAAAATGACCTGAAGAAATTATCTGAATGGTCTCTTACCTGGTAGTTGCCGATAAATACTTCCAAGTGTGTTGTGATGCATATCGGTCATCAAGGTACAGATACACACACGATGAATAACAAAGCTACTTGTTATCCAGACACACAATGACTTAGGAGTCATCGTTAGCCAAGACTTAAAGACTACTGCACACTGCCGTGCTATGTATGTATGACATGGTATCGTGGTATGAAAGAAATCTGCAAACAGCTGGCTTGTGCTGGCCCTTCACGACTCCCTGGCTGGGGTCCGAGAGATGGTGCAACACAGTGGCTAGAGACGTTATCAGATATGTCTCAGAATAGAAGCCAGTGGCGATCCTGCTGTACTCTTTTACTTTCTTCATAAAAAGTGGTTGCTTCTTCCTTAACTGAAAGATCTCTTCTGATTGTACCTTCTCGTTTCCCCCATTATTATTATTACGCTACTTTACCTTATTCTGTTCGTTATTGTTTTCTTACGCTCCTCACCTTTTTTCCTTCTCCTCATCAAATTACCATTGTTTTGTGTGGCGCATATATATTTGGTGCCCTCTTGTACCAATATTTATGTATTCGAATAAATAACTACGTGCGATAGCCGCCACAGGTTTTAGAACCTTATGGTCAATACATAGGACCTTTAGACATGTCGGCGCTAAAAGGTTTTTGACTTTGTATACAGTGTTCGTACGTCCTAAACTTGAGTACTGCATACAAGCGGCTAGCCCCTGCTTAAAACGGACAGCTTTTGGAAAAGGTTCAGAGAACAACAACTAAGCTGATTCCCAGAATTGCGAAGCTTCCGCATGATTCTCGACTGGTCAAGCTAAACCTATTACCGTTGTCATGTAGAACTAGAGGCGACTTGATTACAGTTTTCAAATTGCTTAGTAATAAATTTGTACTTGATATGCCCTCATTTTTCTTGTCTTCCAAAACAGAGAATTTACGAGGACACTCCTAAAAGTTCACAAAACCAGAACAAGTTACTTATCAGCTGACTATCGACTTTCCCATCGAATCATCAACGAGTGGAACTCATTACCTCAGCACGTGGTTGAGGCTCCATCCGTCGATTCTTTCAAAAGAAAGTCGGATCAACTGAGAGACCACCGTTTCTAGGACTAACACAGGCCATCAAGCCTCCTGTCCTTTCCAAACTAATACTGAAGTATCTAAACAAAATCTCAATCCTTTCCGAAAGGTGACACCGTTTCAAGTCGGGTTATTCATGTCTCAGAAACGTATTAGTAGTCCGTGAAAGTCGTGCTCAAAGGGACTTAAGGCTACCTATAAATGTAGTTATCATTTACTTCAGTAAAGCTTTTGATGAAGCCCCACACAATACTGTTATCTGAGTTAAGTGGTATCATGATTGGAGGTAAATTACTTGTGTGGGTAAGGGACTTCCCAGTTGGGCGTCAACTCCAGGTTATCTGTCTGATGAACTATGTCATTCCTCCCATTTGTATATAACTTTCCTATTCTATCATTGGCTTCGTTTATGCCAACAGTGGCAAGATGTAGAGAGCGATGACAAAGGAAGAGCTTCAGAATGACCTGGAGAGACTACCTGAATGGTCTAGAATTCGACAGTTTCCGATAATTGCTTTCGAGTGCATTAGGATGCACATTGGTCACCAGATTATAGAGACACATATAGTGAACAACATTGAGTTACCTTTTGTCCCGACACACATTGACGCAAGATTATCTTCAGCCAAGATCCGAAAATCACTGCACACTGCTGTGCAGTAGCTGCTAAGAGTTTCAGAACTATCTTGTCAATATATAGAGTATTTAACCATATATATGCTAAGACCTTCTTGACTTTGTATACGATGTTTGTTCATCCTAAACTCGAGTACTGCGTGCAAACAGCCAGCCTCTGCCTGAAAATGAACTGAGGTGTTGTAAAAGGTTCAAAGAATGGCCACTGAGTTGACATTTGGAATGTTGAGGCTGCCATATGACGAGATACTGGCTAGAATAGACGTATTCCCCATTTTGTATAAAAGGAGCTGAATTGATTCGATCGTTATTTCCAAATTATTTAACTATAAATTCGCCTCTGACGCACTTTCACTTTTCTTGTCTCCCAAATTAGAGAATTTACGAGAATACTAAAAGCATTGACAAGCCCAGAACAAACTACTTGTCAGGTGACCATTGACTTTCCTATCGAATCACCAACTAATGAAACTCGTCAACTAAACACGTAGTTGAAGCTTCATCTGTTGACGCATATAAAAGAGAGTTGGATCAACTGAGAGACCATTATCGCCAGGACTAAAACAGCCCACCCAGTCTTCTGTATTTCCCAAGCTGAAACAGACTTTCATTACTAAATGTAAGTGCATTCTATATACTTACTGAACCGTCCACTCTCACTGCTCCGCACACTCCCACAGCATATATAGTACCTTCATGTTAGATGCAAACTTGCCAAATGCTGATGGTCATACGTATGCTGAGCAGTAAAATATATATTTTTATATTACTTTGAACGCTAGAAGTAGTAAATTTTTTAAAAATCTAATGCGGAAACATTAACATTGTTGAAGCGTACATTTGTTTCATATGCCGTAAGAATGATATCCTTCATTTAAGTAGAACTGGTGCCTGTATATACTCAAGTTGTGCGATACATTTGTTGACTACCTGTAGATCTATATTACATATCCTTGGCTCTGAATAAGGTAGCAGTGTAAATGGTTGAGTCAATGTATTTAAACTACGACCTGAAAGCTACATTGCATAGTTTTTTCTCTGATGATCCAAGTGTTGATTTTTAACTCTTCTATTAATAGCAGATTAATGAACAGTTTTTCTGATAAATTTATCTGGGTTTATGTTGATGAAACATTATTTCTCCAGATTCTGGTACAAAATGACATAAGGGTGATTACAAAGCATGACTTTCAAATGATGTTAAGCTTCAATGCACCTGCTCTCAAAAAAGGTTTTGAGTTTTATAATCCCTTTAACGATTTTAAATTGTTTGATTATGAGGTGTTAATGACTCGATGCCTGCATTACCTGACTTCATATTTCAAGCACTGCATTTAATATTTCAGTGTATGCCCCCCAAACCAAACTTTCGCTTTTAGATGTTTTCATTTAGTAGGTATTAATAAAGTGGCTGAGCTTCATAAACTATTTTGTCATGTCATAAAGTAAAGCTCAATTTTATAACACCATTTCCCATCTTTAATAATTTAATTACTTATATCTGCCTCTCCGTCCTTTAAAGCAATGACCATCTAAGCTATTGCTGGATGGCTCAAAATCGTTTTCGTATATATTGAGGGGAGGGTTTCGTTTTTATCATCAGATTACCAACTACCAGAAGTCTATTAATGCAAGTAGGACAATCCTCAAATGCCCTTGTACGACCGAGGGTCAAGAGAGTCAGCTCTCCCTCTCGAGATGTTCTCACATGGCCACGCGTATACGGCCACTACCAGAGAAGTTCTACTCGCTGCTTTCTCACGGCGGGGGTGATGTTTACGAACTTGGAAGGACGAAAAGCGAATGTTCGGCGCTTTAATCGGGTGAACCTGGAAGATATATCTAAGGAGGGTTGGAAAACTCTGATTCCAAATTAACGGGGCACATGGGTTCCAGGACCCTGAAAGAACCTGTTGCTGGTCACCGGCTACCTTGGGACTGCATCTATTAAAGTTGGCTTGTGGATTAGACCTTTAGGTCAAAGGCTCCGGCTGTGACCCCTTAAGAGGACCACCTGCTTCGATTTGGCACTCGGGCAGTATCACAGCCCTCACACAAATCAGTGATAACTGTGTGTCACGCATGTATTTTCGCCCTATTGTACCAATGTTTATGTGTTCAAATAAATAAAAATAAAATAAATCACTCGACATTCAACTAGCAGGTTGCAGGTTTGAATACACTGACTAATTCGGTTTGGACTACTAGACATCATCATCCTATCTCAGGATCAAAATTATTTCCCTCATTACTTAGCAATATGGGTACAATAAAATGATTATAATTATGCTTTTTTCTGTTGAATAGACTAAACGTTTCTTTGTATTTGTACGACTTGAGAGTGGTATGATCCATTAGTAGCATACATAATTATTCATTTGGCTTAGTGAAGTCACCTTGTTTTCCACACATTGTTGTCTTTAGAATTGTAGTTACTTTGTCTGATATTCCTAAGTAATTGTTGTTAAGTTATGGTGGAATCTTGTAGTAAGCTAATTTTCTCCTGGTTCCACTATCCTAATTATTTAAGAATGTCATTAAAATTAGTGGGTTTTTAACATTGAGGTAGAAACCAATGTATGCTCATTTGGGTTCAGTCGTCTAAGCACCTAGTTTTGTGCACCAAATCGCTATTCTGAACACCACTTCATCTTAAATGACTAGTAAACCAAGTTACTATCCTTTTATAATAAGTAGAACGAATATCCCAACGAACTTGTATCTGGTTATTGAGGTGTCGTTATACTTGTATTATATACTTTTATATAAGTTTTTAAACCTGATTTTGTTTTCGAATAAATCATCTCTGTAAGAATACAGATTTTGTTGTTGCAATCGGTATATCGATGACAACCAATCAGTCTTCATCTCAACCCATCGGACAGTCAAACAAAAGCCCAAGAGAGCACTCTCATGGTAGTCTTCCGACATCTAGTTCAGCACCTCGTAGTCGTTTACCTGGTCATAATCACTCGTCCTGTGAATCAATAGATTCTATCAATCCCGATCAAATGCTTTATTATGGGGCGAAGCAGATAATCAGGTTAATTTTTCAATATTTTCTTAATGATATAGATAAATACGTTGAGTTTAAAATTCTCTGTGTTTATGTTCACTGTAACCTAGACTTTCATATTGAGCCATATGCATTTCTGTCTGTACACCAAGGAGCGAGTATATGGGGTAGCAGTCCACTTTGCTTTTGTGCACGGCTCTAGAACATAACCCATAAAAGCAGAAAATCAAGTGTTGCTTTTGAGTTCCTGTTGTAAGGATGTATTACACCTTTAGCCTTAAGTCTTGTTAAAATGTTCTTAGATACCGAATATTTTATCGTAGGACTAATCGTAATGCTTACTAATTATGAACTGGTATTCAGTAATCCTCATAAGTTTTGAGGGGTCTATATCAGAAATCTCAAGTTGTATACGTTTAGCATTGTATTCAATCCTCAGCGTTATTGCTTTCAAAAGGTGGCATTCTTCAATATAGTAAAAAGATTACTCCATGATAGTTATTTCATGGAATCATAATAATGGGTATCATAAAGGAACCATTTCATTTTTTATAAGAAAATATCCTCCGGTAGTTCTTGCCAAAAATAATCCTTAAATTTATACAAAAAACATATCAGGATTTAAAAAGACTTATTGTTAGTCGAATTTAGAGAGTATTATAAAGGGTTTGACGCTAACCCACTAGATTTATATGTATGAGTAAAATTACTCATGTATTGATGGATTTAGCAGACAGTCGCACCAAAAGGTGAAATGTTTTGAACTTTAAAAAACGCTGATTCACGAGATCACTGGTGTAAACATCCCTTTCGTGGTGTGTTGGTCATTAGATCATTCCTAGAAGTTGTAATTTACTATAATACTTCATAGTCCCCAGTACCTTTCCACTAAATTTCAATTTTTGATGAAAAACATCTCCAAATATTCTTTTATTATAATGTTACTATATTCTTTCTTATAACTACACTTCCCGTTTTTACATTCTCATTTCAGTTTATTTATACCAGTGACAGTTTGTATGTTGTTTGTTGTTGCTGTCGCTTCGACAGTTGACTTTTATGGACATACGGATCAGTATTTGTTGTATACACCTTTTCATACTCCAGATGCAGATATTGGGACACAAACATGGCAAACAATAGCTAATACTTTGATATTTATGAGTGTGGTTGTCGTAATGACATGTGTCCTTGTTTTACTGTTCAAGTATCAGTGTTATAAGGTGAGACATGAATATTTTCACACAAAATTCTCCATAAATTCTCATAATATTCTTAGATGTGAAACAAATATCAAAATGATTTATCTAAATATTGGGCATCTAAAATACGATTCTATAGATTATAAATTGGTGAAGTAAAAACGGAGAAAATTATGAAGGATTCGGAAGTTTAGGATTTAGTGGTAAACAAAAATAAATGCACCTGTTAAATTGCAAACAATTTTGAGTTATGTCACTCAAATTCTCCAACCATTGGTCATGGTAATGACCCCAACCAGGTTGTCTACACCTATTAGTATTGGCTTAGTTCAATTGTCAATCACTTCATGAACTGATGCCAAGTTTTGGTTTGTCCGTCCCTAGCTTTCTTCCAACCTACACTCACACCAGACGACATCTCTCGTAGAGGTAGGCTTTGGTTGGATACACGTAAAAAATATCCCAACTACCTCGATTAACGAAGATTTTTTACTATCCCATCAATCGATTTGCCATCCGTTACTAGTACCCTATTTTCAACCCAGGCATTGCTTACTCGGTGCTGCAAAGACACGATTTCTGTCTCAACAGTTACTTGTACAACTTATATATATATATATATATATATATATATATATATATATATAATAAAATTGCTGAAAGCTTTTATACATTATTTTCTTTGTAGTTTATTCGGGGTTGGATAATTATGACGACCATCTTCTTACTTTTCCTGATATCCTTCATGTTTTTTGCGTGAGTGATAATTAATTATTGTTGCATCAAAAAAGTTAAAATGCTCGTTTTTTTCATTTGTCAATAACGGTAGACAAAGATAGAGAAAGAAAGTAACATGGTTTTGGAACCTTCAAACGATTACATTTACCGTGTCTCGTGTTCCCTTATTCTAAGTCAGATTAGAAAATGAAAAGTTATTATTGTTATATTACCATTTAATTTGTCACAAAATAAAATCGTAGTTCGGTAGAAAAGACGAAGTCATCGAATAATAGAAATTCTGATAGAAATTAACTAAGATTTCGATAGAACAATGAGAAAATTCAGTTGGTCTGAGAAATGTTATCTATTTGCGCTATACATTTTGAACAATCTGCTCACACATATACTTGTTAAGGCATTTTATATGAAAATTAGTTAAGGTCAATTAAATAAAGGTTCAAGTAAACCAAGTAATAATTGTGAATAAAGGAGAGGGAAAAATTACGTCGTATGAATAGAATAAATTATCGCGTTACCCTAGGCCATAGAATGGCTTAAGGATTACCAGGGCGAATCCAAGGTTATGACAAATTAGATTCGAAGTTAGACTTCATTCATTTCAGTAGGTGCTCATTGTTTATGACGATCATAAACGGTCAAGTTAAAAATAATCATATAAACAGTAGTACTTAGCTAACAAAAACAAAATACTAAGATTATTGATTTTAGGACAGTAGTAAAAGTATGTAATACTAGGATGTTTGAGCGAAAATATGAATTCTTTCACTCTGTGGCTACTATTGTTAAACTGTTAGCTATGACCAGTCAACTACTGAAAGGAATCTTTAACATAGATCTTAGCTTTTAATGTTAATTGAATTCGGCTGACAACTTTGTTTCAATGTATTCATTGGTATGAAGGATTCTATTGGAACCGGTGTTTAATTAATGAAAACAGTCTGCCCAAATCTATAAACATTAGCATCTTTTAACTAGGCATATATGCAATAATAATGAAAATCTTGCTTCATAAATACTTTAACTATTCAGTTATGTGAATATTACCGCTAAGCTATTCATTTCGATAATGATCGGTTGTTGCACCGAACCAACTACACTTAACATTTCCTTGTTGATTATCCTTATTCATTGAGCTTTTCTTTAACACTATATGGATAATTTTGTGAATTATTATGGTCACTTAATTAATGATGTGCAACATAGCACCAATGGGTATCGTTTTAAGTCATCACGACTCACATCAGCACAGTCAAAGAAGTTAGTAAGAAATAAAATAGAAGCACTTTTTGCACGTAACAGTCAACCCTATACTTGAAAATTTAACTAAATATTTCATAATATAGTTCAGAGCTCATTCATTTTATATATTGTGAAATGAACCAAAATTTTAAACAGATAATATATCATAAACTACGGCGGAATAACTGTTTTTCACGTATTAACTTTCTGTTCGCTTTCTCCCAATTTTGAAACAACCATGTCCATGAAGAAGAATTCGTTTAATAGGTGTTCTTACGTGGTTTATAACTCTGTCAGGGTCTTTCAAAGGATATATATATAACCTTTGTAGTACTTTATTTAATCAAACTTAAGAAATGCTTATCTTTACATTGTAATAGTGTCTGACTGACGAGGTGTATAGGGTCAATTCTTATTTATATGGCGACTCAAAGGTTTGAGAATTAGAAAGATGATTGTTCACTGATCATTTTCTTGGAAGTTCTGTTATGCATTGCTGTTTTCACAGCAATATTTTCAAACTAATGATGTACTCAAAATCATTGAAAAATTGTTTTTCTACTTACATTCTTTATGTTCTGTGTATCAGTAGTAAGATAGTCAGTCAAGCCGGGAGTAGGACAGTAACCCTCTAGTCTTATTAAATGAACATAGTGTTGTATCACAAGTCGACTAAAATTAAAGCTGAATTATTTTGGATTCTAACTAGCCTGAAAAAAACTAACATGTTCGATGGAAAACATCAAGGTCTTAGGTTCTATTTTGTGTAGGGTCGTGGATTCACATTACTAAGGGATCTCGGCCTGAATAAATTGATCATTTATTGTTTTGTGTTTTCAATTATTTTCTTATTGATATTAATTCATGGTTACATATATCGTCATTTTATACGAAAATCTCAAAACTCCCCACTAATAATCAATTTATTACTGTCTATTGTAAATTCATTTTATTCGGTTGATATCACTTGTCAGTGCTCATATAAAATTTCAAGATAGTTTTCGTCGCAAGCAGAGAGTAAAGAAAATTTATTTCCATTTCCATTAATGTAATTCGTATTACCTTTTATGCTGATATATACTTTATCAAAAATATTTATTATAATTATTATTTTCTTGTAGTGAAGTTCTTCGAGCTATGGGTGTATTTGTTGATTATATTACAGTAGCGTTTGCTTTATGGAATTTCGGTGTTGTGGGAATGATAGTTATTCATTGGCGTGGACCATTAGTTCTACAACAAGCGTATTTAATATTTATATCTGCACAGATTTCATTAATGTTTCTAAAATATTTACCCAAATGGACGTGTTGGCTTGTTTTAGCAGCGTTAAGTGTTTGGGGTTGGTTTAATTCATTTTTTTTTAAATAAAAGGTTCTATTATGTCAAATTACTATATTTGACTTCCATTAAACTTTAGATGGAATTGTCTGGAACTTTTAAGCAATGAGTATTTCTGTGAATCCTTTTTCAATCTAGTTGATGTGTAATGTGATCTTTTTATACTAAAACATCTTCCAAAGACTCAAAATTGCTTATAACCATGGCGATAAATCATTGATTGAAATATCTCAAATATTGTAGATTGTTAGATTCAACTACTTACTGAGGTTGGAAGAAGTTTCGAAGCACTATAGGATTTCAGTTAACAGTTTCTAGGTTAATTACCAAGTGAATAACTCATGCTTTGACTTCCATTATCCCCTCCTCTATATACACTTGTTCGTTTAGTAACTACAAACATTCTTTATAGACAAGTTTGAATTCTATCGGAACTGCAAAATGTATTAGACATATCATTGTGTCCCACTCAATTGCTTGACTTGTAGATAAAATTCTCGACAACTAACATAGAATTCAGGCAAGGTTAGGAGTTACACCTCATACTTCTGTCGATAACACTTGTATGTGGTGCTTCAACTTTCGCACAGATCGGATATTTTTTTGGAATCCAGTCATCATCTGCACAAATAGCTTTAATAACCTCTTCAATCTGTGTTTCAATATAAAGATTAAATTATTGTAAAAATATTTAATGCAAACAGATATATTTTGTTCAGAACACAATTATACTAAATATTTGCGTTATCATAAAGATGGGTACATTCGTATTTGTCCTATAATTGCGTCAATATATCATTGTACTACTAACTTAACTAATAAGTAGCATGAATTTCTAATGTTTTTATATCAATCTTGGTCGTTTATGGATCCTACATTGAAGATTTGACTTGAACTTAGTTGGGGGCTAGCTAGCAGTATACCGTTGTCCACTTGTGCTGAATGCCAAAGTTAGGCGCATACCATGGTATTATCAAGACCTACCTATAATATTAAAAGATGTAGTTCCACCAGTTCCAGGTCATGAACACTGGGTCATTAACAATCGGTTTGTGGTTCAAATGTACTGAATATGTGCGCCTACTTTTCTCCTCTTTTGGTATTTTTGCTGTAATAGATTTTAATACTTTAAGTTTTATGATCTTCCTTTACCAAGTTAGTTATGAGTAGGATAACTGAAGCAAGCACACTTGCATGTACCACTCTACGTTGCTTGTACTTAAATAACTGCTTATAGTAGCTAAGATATTTAAAGCATTTTAGTAATGTATGCAATTTAAACATATGTTGTTTGTATAGATATGTAAAGGCAAAACCTAAATAGTTTGGGTTTTTTTTAACTTAATGGTCAGTTTTACTACATTAGATTCTCTCGGCTTCATTTTCTCATATGATAAGGTGCTAAATAATGTTTTATCAAGGCTTATTATGGTTGGATTTGTATCCTTGATGGCAAATGGTACTTGAACTGGCTGGATATATATCAACAGTGTTTTTCGATGTACGGTATGCATTTTTATACACACTCGATACTGTCGTATTATAGTTTATTTTCTAAAAATAAGAGGAATTTGGGAAACCTACTTTTAGCACTGATTGAACACTTAAAGCCTTATGGGTTAATTATTAAACATAGATGGTTTAAAGATTCTTTTTACCATAAACTGACACCGATTGTTAGACCGAGAACTGGTAGATAGCTTATTTTTCCTAGACATTAAATGCGAAAATGTACTTGAAATAATCTCAGCGATTGAAAATTATCTAACAACTTTTCGTGCAGCAATTTAGTCCGCACTTCTGAGATTACTTCAAGTATGCTTTTAAACCTGATCTCTTAAGTATACTTTAGTTTCAATTTCTGTCACATTGTTTGTTCGAATTCTGACAAATATTCATAAAAATCATTCATCCTAGTACGTAACTTTACAGCATTAAATGTCTCAAACGATATATTTGATCAAACACAAGTTCTTCATTTTTTACGGTGAATACCTTACCTTTTTTAGTTGCTTAATAGAGATATAAAAGCCCATATACTCAAAGTTTCATTCGATTTGCAACATAGCTCAGTCTTTAATATCATCATTGAGGAATTGACTTTGATGATTTCTATCCGTCAAAACTTCATGATAGTAATTCACAGAATCCAATGTGTTTTATTTACTAGTGAGGTAATTATAATCAGTAGATTAAATAGTTTTTTGGGTTCTTTATTATTTAAAGGTAGCTTTCATCATCAACGGGAAGAGCTAATCACTTCGAAAGTGTGACTGTAGCTTACCAGCGATATTGGATGTAGGTCTTAAGTTGACAAAAATTGGAAATGGATTAAATAATCATACACTTCTACTAACCTGTTCCGAAGTCCGATTTTCATCTACTAATGTTTTTAAGGAATAAAATTAATGTTTATATGTATTCGTTAGTTTATTTTTGGGGATTATTCCACCTGTCTTTCATACAAGTATTATATTTTTCTTATCTGTTGGTGAATGTAAAGAAAAATACTCTTCTTTTGTATTCTTTCACATATTTTAGTGTTTCATACGGTTATCTAAAAGTTGACACTAATTTGTTCAGCTTAAAATGAGGGTTGTATTCTGTATTAGGAAAAACTTTGATATCAATTAAGAATTTAGGAATGATTAAAACGTGTCACATTCCTGATTGGATGATTGACTATCGTACTACCATGTTTAGTATGGTTTCAGAAACTTTTGGAAGCCCATAGTCATCTGGAATACTATTAATACCCTCAATTTTCTGTGCACAGACGAACCTTGGAACAAATCGTTCTTTTCACACTTCGCTCCTTTTCTCTCGTGTTCAAGTCATGTAGATTTAGCTTGGGGGTTATTGGAGAAGCTTAGAAAACAGATTCAAGAGTTCAGATACAAGACTTATCATATTCACCTCACGAAGGTTTACTTCTAAGTATCTAACTTACATGCAGCCTTGTATTTAAGTCTTAGTATGATTTCTAACTTATGTATTTATGTACTATTTTATATTGTTTAAAATAGCATTTAATATTCCTTTATTAATTCCCTGTTAACTAAAACTTAAAATATTCTCTTCAGATATAGTAGCTGTTTTGTGTCCAAATGGACCATTGCGATTGCTTGTAGAAATGGCTCATGAACGACAACAACCTCTTTTCCCTGCCCTTCTATATTCAACTACTACAGTTTATCTTGTCAAAAAACATGAACCAGTTGAGAGAGTTGAAAATGATCAACAATTTGTTGGGTCCACTATTGCATGCTCTATTGATGCTCCGAATGAAGCGACAAATGTTAATTGTACTACACAATCTTGTCCTACTACATCTGAGTTGGTAGTTTCAGGTAAACTTATAAAATCATTGTTAATTATTTTTAGTATATCAATATTGTAAGCGGTTTTGAGGCAGCTTATGATATACCTTATTATAATTTAAATTTGTAATTGTGTCATAGAGAATTGTTCATTGAATATTTACAGACTTTTCAAATCTCATTGCTTGTTGATAAGTCTATAAATTCTAGCAGCTGTTTACTTTTATCCCATATTTTATATACTAAGTGTTAATAATCTTTTGGCTGGATAATAAGTCGGGTTAGAATTGACCTTGTATTAGTTCAGGTCCTAATTTCATTGATGAATAATCCATAGAATTGATGTCTATCAATGGATTATCTTTTGAGTGTTTAAATCCTGCTTATTTTGTATAACATAAATACATTTCGCTCGATCTATTAAATACAATGATGATAATTTGTATCTATATATGATGGCTATTATAGGAACAAGTAATTTGATATGATCTGCGTGTCTTTGATAACTTGCTTACTCAATCGCTCTTCGGTTTGCAATTAAAATAGATCTTGGGAGGAAACACCAGATGAAACATACACCTACGGAATATATATATATATATATATATATATATAAGCGTGAACAGGTATAAGGTCATTAAAGTTTGTTTGATTCCAACATCTAAGAAATGGAATTTACCTTCTATTCCATGTTTATGTGTACCAAAAACATGCAATATCTGTTGAAAATGTATTCCTTTGTCGAATTGTTGAAGTCACCACGAGTAGTTCGCTTGGTCTAATTCTGTCTGATATTTTAATGAGGAACCTCAAAAAGATAAGGCTTAAGCTCACAACTGAAAGGACTACACTCTGTCGTAGATATGTTGATGACACATTTCTTGTATGGAATAATCAGAAGTATTCTATGTACTTATTCAATTTGTTTAACATAGCACACAACGATATAGACTTTGCTAAGGAACCTCTCCTGACGTTCTTTGAATTCCATCTTTCAACGACCTCACACATGTTCACGCATATATATATATATAATTATTGATAATCTTCGCTACTGTAATTCTTTCCATCATCAATGTCTATCGCTTCACGTTATATCGTACCTCTGTGTTACACTTTAATGCTTATATGGTTGTAAGCATCTGATAAGGAACAACTAGGTAATAATTAAAAGAAAATATAAGTCGCATCCCAATTAATGAGGTTTTATTTTTGTTCTGTCTATCATTAATTGTTCGTGTATATTGATATACTCGTTACCTTTTAGTAAAAGTTATGATCTTATTTATAATAAAGCTAAAGTAAATGTTCACATTCGACATTAACGGGTTTATTTAAATTGATGAATGTATGTATAAAACCATAATTTCTGTTTCGCATAACTCTATCGTAAAACACCTCTACCATAAACTTGATTTTGTTTGATCGTGTTATTTTGCGTCAATTCAGTTCCATTTCACTTGCACTGTCTTTTTTTCTAAAAGTATTTCTACCAGAATACGATCCGATCAGACATTTTTAAAAGGTAATTTTATGAAAGTATTTAGTTTTTAAATAGTAGGTTACGGACTAGAACCCTGCACAAAAACGCCTGACCATTGCTACTACTTTGGTGTAGTGGTCGGACTTACCTATCGTTATTAAATAGTCGGGCTATACTGGACAGCATAATCGTTCCTCAAGGTTCTACCATACCAAGCTGGTCGGTTGCAAAGCGCTAAGACTAGATACAGCAAACCCAAAGTCCAAGGACGAAGTCGTACTGCTGATAGTACAGAGGTGTGAAAGAAACCGGGAAGTGATAACCGCCTTCATGTTTCTAACAGCACTCAAGACTACTGACTGACTGCACAAAGACGACCACCACCAATTACCTGGGTTTGGACAACAGCTAAGCATAGTATCTCTTAGTCCTTATATTAGAAAAAGTAATGGTTAGTAGTTCACCAGATAAACCTGCATTTGTTAAATAAATTTTAGCAATAGAAAAACTAGTACAAATACGATCATTTTACTATAGTATCTATTATACTAACAACTATGTGTTTAGTAACTTATTTGACATTTGTTTCTTTCTTCAGATAACGATAACCAGCCAGTGACAGGGAATTCCAGAGACATGTCAAATATTCCTATTAATGTAAGTAGAAGTAATTGTTTCAATCTTCGTTTCATTACTGTGTTTGCTGAAAATTGATTTTTAATGTTTTAGACAGCTTATTGATTAATTTTTATAAAAAAAAAGATATATTGTTTTTGATTATTTTTTAAATCATTCCATATTATAGTCAAAAATGGACTACATTATGCTAATGTTTAGCAACGTCATCAATCTTATCATTTATTAAAGAACTAATCAGTTCATTAAAGATTCTATATAAGTGTAGTATAAATATTACCTACAGTCTTTCCACTAGCTTTTTATGTAAATGCGTCGATATTCTTCTCAATCCTATTTTAATATTCTTTTGTAATGGGCTCTTTTTGTTTCCAAGATGTGCATTTGTCTGTTTTGAAGCTCTCAATTGGATGCTTCTTTATCATAGTGTGTATCATTATGTTCAGTGAGACTTAAACCCTTCATCCACCTAACTACTAATTTCTATGATTTGCCTAGTCGACTAAAGCAAACGGTCACTAATTTCACTTACTGGTGTATGTATTGACTACTCATCATTAGTTCCACTCAGCATAATCATATTTCCGCCAGTATATTGTGTTTGTATAAACAGTGATATGGTAGAAATAACTCACGATTACCTAGCTTGAAATATATATCATAAATAGACCAAGTGCTAAACAGTATTTATGTAATGCTGCTTATCGTCATTCAACTAAAAAAAAGATAGAATCGCTGTAGAAATACTACCATATTCGAAATTATATGTGTAACAAGTATGCTCGATTTTATTTATGCATCCAACCCAATACCAGATATATAGAACGTAAATGTAGCTCCACTCCAAACGATTTTGAGCTATGTCACTCAAAGTCTGACCATTGGTCACGATAATCACGCAGACCCCAACCAGGTAGTCTACACCTCTATCAACATTACTAATTATTGTTCGTTTCATTAATTGTGCATATGAACTGAATTGATGTGCTGTTATTTTTTTATTGTTGTTGTAGACGTCCGGAACTGACGTAATTGTAGTTGATACTCCTGATGACAATACGAGTAATAATGATGCCAAGAGTAATAATGAAACTATATCACAGGCACCTCATGAAACAGATACACTTGTAGCAGGTCGGCTTAATCGTTGGCAAGATCTGCAAGTATGTTGCTTTTTATACATCAGTTTGTTGTAATTATTACTACGTAACATCATGTTTACATCGGTCAATATCCTTACATTGATTAAAATCGTCGTCATGTTTTTTAGTGATAGTCGATATCATTTTATATGAATTGACTAATACGATATTTGCCATTTGTCAACATTCTTCTATAACTTAACAAAAAGCAGAGTATGGTAGTGAACGAAGACTTGATGGGGAAAACCAACTTTTTAGTGCGAAATTACACAACACCTTAGTAAAATATGGAAATCATACATTAAATACCTTCTTTGCGTTGTTCTTCGCCTACTTCATTATCCCTCAGATTGTGTTTTTACTTTGATTGCTCTCCGGTTTCCTTTCTGTTCTCTTTAATTCAATCTTCTGCTGCCAGGCATTCCACTTCAGATCGCGGCTACATACTATTTTATATCTGTGAGCATAATTAGCATACACCACATGCAGTCGTTTCGGTCTGCCTATTGATCACATCACACTGTTTAGCCGGTATATGCTGACGCAAATAATATATCTGTATTTGTTCGTTGTGTCGTATATTTCCATAAAAATTCAAAATTTTATTCAGCACAACTATTTGAAAACTTTACATAAATGTGTAGTGATCCACGAGGCTACACCATTCAGTATATAATATGTTTAATATTCATGATACAAATGACAGGTATGTGGTCGGTTCTTACAACATACAGATAAGAAATTTGATATAGTAGGTTTGTTGTAAATCTATCCAGATTATATCCTTGATTTTTTAGTATTTCAAAAAATCCATCTTGTTGAAAGATAGAACTGTAAATGATATTTAAATGACATCTTACTTTAATCTTTTCTCAAATTCTTTGTTGCTTCTTGGTGACTTAACCAACTATTTACTGTGTAATGAGTAGCTCTAATGAACAAATCAAAGGCTATCTAGTATGTTTCTCTAATTAATTTTTGTTATCAGATTACTATATTGTTATTTTGCCTAGTATTGTTACCGGGTATGATTTGAAACATACAATCATCTCGTACTGTTTACGTACAGTCATTGCTTTAGCATTTAATAAATGACATTGAACGCAAATCTGTATTGTGTTGTACCGTATCCTGTCATAGGTTTTTGTTATACGACGGGTGGTTATCAAATTAGAAGTGAAAAGTCCTGGCCTTTTTCTAATCTTCAAGTTACACTTGAAAATTAATCTCGTCATTTTCTTTCAAGTTTTGATTTTTGCCAAAGTTTACGAAACCATCACTTAATAAAATAGCTCAGGACTATAAGAGTTCCTGACAGTTAGATTTCTAAGGTTTCGAAGGATACTAGTTAGTGCTTTTCAAATGGTCAGTTTACTGATCTGTATCCTAATTATTAGTTTAACCAACTGCGTCTTTAGTAAAGCCATCTCAAGATTAAAGGTAATAATAAACATATCTGTAGAGATTGTTGAATTTTACGATTAACATCAGCAGCGGCAGTCTCTGTATCAGTAGACCTCAACATACACAAGGGAAAAAGCAAGATCCTATATTACATCACAGAACACCAACCCAATCACACCAAATGGAGAAGCTCTGAAACTGGTGAAAAGTTTCACGTACCTGGTCAACACCATTGATGAATAGAAAGGATCTGATGCAAACGTAAATGCAAGGGTTGGCGAAGCAAGGGCGGCATTTCTACAGTTGAAGAACATGCGAAACTCAAAACAATTGTCTACAAGCCAACATCAAAGTCAGAATCTTCAATACGAACGTCAAGACATTTCTACTATAAGGAGCTGAAATTTGGAAAACTACCACAGCCATCATAAAAAAAGTACGAGTATTTATAAACAATTGTCTACGCAAGATACTGAATGTCCATTGGCCGGATACCATCAGCAACAGCCTACTTGGGATAGAACAAACCAGGTTCCATCTGAGAAGGAATTTAGGAAAAGATGCTGGAAGTGAATGGGACATAAATTACGGAAAACACCAAACTGCATCATGAGGCAAGCTCTAACTTGGAATTATGAAGGAAAACAGAAAAAAGGAAGACCAAAGGTCACACTGCATCGGGGATCGGAAGCAACTGGAATGGATTGCCGAGGACAGAGTTGAATGGAGAACGCTGGTGGATGACCTATGCTCTTCTACGAGGGAACAGGCGTAAGTACGCATTGATTTAAACAAAGCAACCACTAAAACTTAGGAAGCATTGGGAAAATACTTCGCCCTAGTATGGAGCTCTTCATGAGTGCACATCCCTTGCCCTACTGGGGATCGGACTCAAGAACCTCAGGCGCTCAACCTTCAAACCACTGGGTCGGTATCCATATGTTTAACTCCTGTTAATTCCCCATATTGTGTAATTTGTTTTTGGGTTGGTCTAGCGCTTTTATTATTGTTATTATTTATTATTATTACTTGTCAGCATACATTATGTTTACGAATCCATGTGAAATGTGGCTTGAAAGATTTGCGTCATTGTAATTACGTAGGCCATTTAAATATTTTTCAGATTGTGTATATGTATATATATTCATTGACTAGTCAGAAAATTATCATGATATTAACTCGGTTCATAACAACTGTTGGAAAAAGGCAATAGCATATTGCTAAATTATTACAATCTGTTCAGACCACAATTTGGACACATTCATCTAAATATATTTAATTAGTTCAATAAAATACAGTTAACTGATAGAAGTTCGATTATATATATATATATATATATTCAAGATTTGGGAGAAAGTTATGGTATTTTTTAATTGTGTGTTGTTGAATAATAGTTTGGTTATGTAAGTACTTAAGTTTCGACTACTTAGTCTCAGGTTCGAACCCTGTTCCATCTTCAATTTTAATAAATTTATGCGGCGTTATTGACTCTTTTGAGTAGTATCTGGTTTTGTTTCGTTGTGAAGTAATTCACAGTAATTTAGGAGAACACAAAGAGTGTATGCACCTGCGCCATTGCAAACGATTTTGAGCCATGTCATTCAGGGTCTCTAACCATCGGTTGCTATCATCTCGCGGTCCCCAACCAGGTAGTCTACACCTACCAACATGACTCAGACCACTTGTCAGTGACTTCATGGACTTGTGCCATAATAAGTCGAAGACACTGTCAAATCAAACCATAATCCATTTATTTATTATCTTTCTTATTAAACATTGTTGAAATCATTCGTTGTAAAGATATAACGACTGGTAGGTTCAATCGTTTTTAGCTATTTTCAATATTCATTTCAATGTTTAATGTGCATTTGTTATTTACCTCTACCCTATTCTGACTATTATTTTAAAAGGCAGATTTAATTGATCGTGACTCAAAGGGTGTAAAACTTGGTTTAGGAGATTTTGTATTTTATAGTCTATTGATTGGTCGTGCAACACTTGATGGCGATGCAGTCACTGTAGTCACATGTTATGTGGCTATATTAGTTGGAATGTGTATTACTGTTATAGTATTGGGAATTACACGACAAGCATTACCAGCTTTACCAATATCCATAACATGTGGTATATTATTTTATTTTGTCAGTTCAGCGACAATATCACCGTTTCTTGAGGCAACAGCAGCTGAACGTGTGTTCTTCTGAAATGATCTATTATTATAATTATTATCGTTATTATTATTATTGTCACCACAGCTGTTATTATAATTTTTTTTTCTTGTTTTTATACAATTTTCAATGTTACCGTTGACTTGGAATACTCATTCATGATTTATTATCTGTTATTTTTATGTTTAATATTCAACTTTTAATTGTAAATTTTAGGTCCAAAATTATAATGATAAGTTTTCAATGGATTTTTATTCAATAATACAAGTATTTTAAGATAAAAACATGTTTTGGCAATTCTACTAATATATAATCAAATTGAATAATGGAGTTGTATTCCAGCGATTTTTATAATCGATTGTGAATCAACGAATCATAAGCGAAACTAATATTTCATTCAACTTAGTTTTATTGCATAAATATAGAATATAATCAACTTATAGTAAAGTACGCGAGGATGTTGGAAAGAATTTCATATTTATTTGAACTCATCAAAGGGAAATACTGTAATCTGCTGAATAATCCGACGCTGGATTCAAGCCCAGTATAGTGCATCTTGTTAATAAGTCATTGTTTGGAAAAAGCATCATCTGTTTCCACTTTACATAATCATAATTTACATACCTAAAGAATCCATGTGATACAACAAAACACTCATTTTAAGAGAAAAATTCTCACTAATCTAAGAAAGGAATATGTAGGTACTTTTAGGCAAGAATTAAAATTCTTCAACTCATAGATGGAATCATCAAACATACTAGTTTGTTTTTTTTTCACAAGGAAATTCAATTACCTTGTGATGAAGGCATTTTTCTCATAAATTACAACATACGTGAATACTTATTTTCAGCCAGAAACAAATAACCAAACAGAAGTCACAAGATTCATCAAAGAAATATTTATAAGTATAATAATAATTAGTTAATTAATCATGACTAGAATAGAAACAAACAACAATTAGGCCGTAAACAGTAGTGTACATCTCTCGTGATCGATTGGTTTATGTATATTACTAGATGAGAAAAGGAAAGCAAAATAAAACCACAAGGATATTAAGTTATTTATCTCAAGAAAGTGATCTTTCTAATCAAGGAAAATGAATTTATCAGTCAGTCAGTAACAACGTAGAACTTCGTACGTACGTACATCAGTTCGAGTTGCCACACCACATTAGCACAGAGATGCACTTGTCGATTCAAATCCCATAGTGGTAGAGGTAATAAGAGTGTAAACAGTAATCGGAAAGATTAGGGTTTGGAGATGTTATTTAAAGAGTATAATACAGTGAAATAAATTTGGAAAGAAAAAAAGGACATGAAGAATTCAGAAGATTAGAATTTGGGAGGACACAAAGAGTGGATGCACCTGCGCCATTGCAAACGATTTTGAGCCATGTCATTCAGGGTCTCTAACCATCGGTTGCTATCATCTCGTGGTCCCCAACCAGGTAGTCTACACCTACCAACATGACTCAGTCCAATTGTCAGTGACTTCATGAACTTGTGCCATGTTTTGGTTTAGCCGCCCCTAGCTTTCTTCCAACCTACTCCTATACCACTGAACATAGCACGTCGAGGCAGTCGGTCGTTGGGTATACGTAACACGTGTCCCAGCCATCTCAACTGATGAAGTTTCACTACTTCATCAATTGATTTGCCATCCTTACCTAGTACCCGTTTCCTAACAACTGTGTTACTTACTCGATGGTCCCATGATATATGAGCAATGTTTCAAAGACACCTATGATCAAATACTATCCTCTACTCTTACCGGCCATGTATCACAGCCATAAAGTAGGACGGAACGAACTGCTGCGCAGTAAACACATCCTTTGGTTGATAGACGGATATCTCGCCTACGCCATAAATGACACACGTTGGTAAAAGCTAGTCGAGCCTTCTGTATCCGTGCTGAGATTTCGTCACACACCAGACCACAAGGGCTGATGAGACTTCCAAGATAAGTGAAGCGGTCAACACTCTAAACTACTTCACTCCCTATCATTAGTTCGGGTGTCAATGCAACCCAATCCTGAAGCAACATTTTGCATTTCGAGGGAGAGAATCGCATCCCGAACATGCTTGCATTGTTGCTTAGAGTGGTCAGAAGACTGCATTTTGTCAGCGTCTTCACCAAATAAAACTATGTCATCAGCATATTCTAAGTCAACAAGTGAACCTCCTGGTAGAAGTTCAACCCCTGTATATTTAGATGAGGAGAGTGTTATCTCTAAAAGTACGTCAATGACAAAGTTGAACAAGAATGGGGAGAGTGGACAGCCCTGACGAACACCACTTGAGGTGATCAATTCTGATGACAGTTCGCCATAAGCTCTCACTCTACCAGTTGTGTTCGAGTAGAGAGCCTTTATAAGGTTGATGTACTTCTTTGGTATTCCTTTCAGTGACAAACACTGCCATAGAACCTCACGATCAATAGAGTCGAATGCCGCCTTAAGGTCGAGAAATACTACCATTGTGGGGCGTCTGAATGTGTGTCTGTGTTCTAGAACCTGACGTAGTGTGAATATCTGATCTATACAACCACGTCCAGGTCGAAAACCAGCCTGGTTTTCTCTAGTCTGCTCTTCACGAGCTTTAGATAGGCGTCGAAGAATTATTAAAGCTAATATTTTAGACACTATATTAGTCAAACTGATTCCTCTGTGATTGTCACAGGAGGACTTTTGTCCTTTCTTATAGACTGGCACAATCAGTGATTGAGACCAGTCAGATGGGATTACGTCCAGTTCCCAAATTCTACCTAAGACCTCGGTTAATCTCATTGTTAATACTGGACCACCATCCTTAAAAATCTCAGGAGTAAACCTGTCAGGGCCTGCTGCTCTCCCTCGCTTCAGATTTCCTATGGCTTTTTCAACTTCGTAAAGGGACGGAGGACTTACATTAACTTGCCATTCAGGTTGACTGGAGATCGTGGGAAACCGAAGTGTGGCTGAGGCCAGTTGAACTGATCCCTAAAGTGTTCTGCCCATCGATCCAATCTCCTGGATTGAGAATGAATAATATGTCCATCTTTCTCTGAGATTGTTTTGCTAACGGTCGGGTTCCTAATTCCGGTTTCCTTAACGAGTCTAAACAATTGTCTGCTATTACCTATTGCCGCTACCTTTTCCATCTCTCTTGCTTTCGCTACCCACCACTGTTCGCGATCATTGCGTAGACTTCTTGTCAGCTTGCGCTTAAGCTGACTCCGCTCTTCATTATGTTCAGAGCCAGGTGGAATGTGTTTCCGAGCATTTATCAGTGAGATAGATGCTGCTGAGATCCAGTATTGCTCCCTAACCTTCTGGTTTACCTTACTAGCAGATATCACTGCTGTTTCCACAGGTTTTCGGATATCATTCCATGCTGCATCGGGGTGGGCATCACATACATGGCTGCCTAACTGTTTTCCTAGTTGTTCCTGAAATATACTCTTAGCTTGACTATCATTAAGTAGGGCCCTAAGAGGTTTCCTTGCAGCGTCCTTCCTACGTCCAGTAAGACGCAAGCAAATACGCGCTCGCACTAGAGCATGATCTGAATCTAAGCATGTACTCCAGAATGAGCGACAGTCTTCTATCGAGCCCCTTTTAGCCACGACACCATAAAATCCACCCAGGTGTCTTTCCCTATCGCTTAGTTTACTTACTTGAGCATTAACATCACCGGCCACGATTACTACATCCGAGCACCTAGCTTTTCGGAGGTCGGAGAGCTTTCTGTAAAACTCATCTTTTACATCATCTGCGCTGCAGTCAGTGGGAGAATAGGCAGAAACGACGAAGAGGCAACGACGAGTGTCCCTATCTTTTCGGATCCTTACTGTTCCGTTTAGTCGGACAGCGCACAAACGACTGTCTACTGGGATCCACTCTAAGAGAGCTAGTTCTGCCCTAGGACTCGATGCTATACCTACGCCAGCGATGCCACGGGAAGCAGAATCAAGGCTTCCAGATACACGAAGTGTGGATCGAGTCGGTTCTTTATTTTGGCATGGTGAGGTCAAATGAATGACGCTACTGGGATCCTGTATGCGCGTTTCGGAGACGCAGCACACATCGATGGCGCGAGATTCTAAAGTTTTAGCTAAGGAGGCCTGCTGTCCTATTTGGCAAAGTGTTCGTACGTTAAAAGCTCCTACGTGTAGTTTAGAGCGTGGTTTCAGGAGACCAGGAATAGCGTTCCGCGTACTCGAATCGTTTGCCCTAGCGGTGCGAGGTGATAAAGAGACGTGAGGAGGGTTAGTCTGGTGGATAAGAGAGGTATCAGAAGGTGTACGAAGGATTTAAATGTGACCAACTTGGTCTCTTGTGCTGTTACGGGTATGAGGGCTGATGTCACTTCCCGGCTGCCCACACCGTGGAAGGGTATTTCTTGAGGATCCTGAAAAGGAAATTGGATTAGTGTTGGTCTTGACGACCTGGGAGCGTTACTGCAGAGCCCAAGGGACAACTGCTTGAGGCCGGTCGTGCACGGCCTTTTTGTGGAAGGTTTTTGACTTGTTAGCTCCGTTCTTCAAAGGGCCTTACCGCCGGAGACGGAAATCCGTGAGGTAAGGTGAGGTGTGACATTTTTAGGGTCGACCTTTTCTAACTCCACCCCTCCTTGTGGGAAGGCAGCATCGCTGCAGATGCTGGTTGTCCGAGGGAAACACCTTACTGCTGTCACACCTCTCTACAGTCAGCAGTACGACTTCGCCCTCAGACCTTGAGTTGCTGCCTTTAGTCTTACCGTTCGCCAATCGACCTGCCTGGCATGGTAGAACCTGCAGGAACATGTGTTCCAGCCAATATAGCTCGGTTGGGTCATCACGATAGGCAAGCCCGACCACCGCGTCAAGGTAGCAGCTTCGATCGGGAATTTATCAGGACGGCTTAGTTATATGTTGCTGTTGATTCATCATTTATTCAGATGATTAATTCTTAGTTGACGTGAAGTTAGAGGAAAGCTGTTTATTGGTCAGAGGATTATATTATACCAGTCACTGAAGTTGTTGATTGTTAATCTAGGCTAATCATTGAATATTTAATT